TTATTTTAGTCGCCAGCAATTGTCCTGCAAAGTGTATTCTGTGTTTGCGTAAGATTTGAGAAATATCGGGAATCGGATCATAAAGCTGCGATTTAGTTGGATCTAGTTCGTAAGTGAATTTAATGGATCCGATTGGAATTCGAAAGTGAAAAGAAAGGACTAGTGCTACATACATCTTTTTTAATTCATTTACTTTCTCCTCGGCTATAGGACCAAGTCTCTACTGCTATTTACCCATAGTTGGGGGAGGAGAAGAGGATTCATACCTTTCCCAAGGGTATGAGTTCGTAAGTGAATGTAATGAATCCGATTAGAATTCGAACCCAGCACTCCAATTCTTCAATCCAAGCCGCTATCCATTACTCCACCGAGCTTACTCAAATTACACTATATTAGCTGTATGCTTGTATATGCGGTTGGTATAATGAATAACGGCTTGAATTTGGATATCAGAGAGCCGATTTCAACTCCAGTCGGATTCGTTATATTTGCTTATGTACAAATACCCTTGGGAAAGGTACGAATCCACCTCTTTTCCTCCAGCTATAGGTTAATTAGTAAGACCTATATCAGTAAATCATTATTATCTGCAAAAATTCTTATAATCTAAAAGAATTTTATTTTGACTTCAAATAACGTGCAAAGTGTTGATAAGTCGTAAAAAACAAATCAATCAATTATATATATATATATATATATATATATATATATATATATATATATATATATATGAAAAGAAAATGGGGAGAAAAAAATGAACACAAAGAGCTAGAGCGAGCCCCAACAAACATTCACGCTGTTTACACAGGGAAGGTTTGCGGGACCCGATATAAAGTGCCTTTTTTTTCCTTCCCATTTCCTTTTCATTGCACATTTTCTAGTGTTTTTAATTTAAGTTAAATCTCCCGTGGAAGCCTGAAGAGCGGGAGCGAAACCGGTTGCTTCGTTTTTTAATATGTCTAGTAATATTAAGCTTCACACTTTTATTTCTGTGATTAAATTTTGTACCTACAAAATTTGTCCATATGACAAATGTTATTTTTTCATTTCCATCGAAAGCCGCCATTGGTTAATTAGCATAATATATTTAAAATATAATACATTAAAAGCATAGATACAAAACTGTTTATCAAAGACCCCCGAAAAAGGTCTGCAGTTTTACACCAACTGCAACGCAAAAATGACATTGCGCTTAACGATTGCGATTTCTGTTAGCTTAAAACTGAAGACTGTCTCTTAATCAAAAGATCAATAAGAAGTGAACGCTTCGATTGAATCTGGTTTTTAATGACGGCAAAATGATCCTTATTATTGATTATAAGCTGGTAAATTGTTTCCGTCAGAATCAAGTTATTTAAAGCTGCTGGATATAGTCCTCAGCAGTAGAGTTTCTGCTAAGGTGAGACAAATTAAATGTATAACTAAGAAATGTCTATTTTACAATTTTTGTTGTCAATGAAACATTATTTTTTTCATATTTTGTCTTTCTGTAATATTGTTGTCTTTCTAACTTTGCCTTCGTGACGAGTTTGATTCTGTAGAAAATCTTAAGAATACTATTTGAAGTTCTGCGTTCTTGTCCTTATTTTCTAGATTTTGTACTTATATAAATTACAATCTATTTAAGTCGTAAAACTATCGCTACTCTCTTGCTACTTCCATAGGTCCGACGAGCTTCATTATTTAATGACAGCTGCTCAGACCTTCATAACTAAAACCCGTCTTACCCCACCCCATTCATAAATATTCCTTTGATAAGAAAGCTTCTCTTAATTTTAATCATTTCACCCCAAGCAAGGCAACAAAGCCACTAACACGCATTCGGGTTACTGAGTGTGAAAGAATATAAGAATAGCATTATTAAGGCACGAGAACAATAAAAGAACAGGAATTTAGTAAGACAGAAAATAACGATTGATATTGCATTTAAATTTTTAAACATCAACATTGACTGGAAAGCAAGAAGTCGGAAGAGATCTCCACGAGCGAGAATTGCGAGAGAAGAAACTGTTAGCATAGAACTTGCGGTTACATTTACTCATTTCAACTATAAAATGAGGAGACCTTGCCAACTATTTACTACTGCGTGTAAATTCGTAAAGTCAAGTTGTCATAAAGGAGAGTAATATTTATTTAGAGTGATACAAAAATGTTGGCAGAAGGTTAAAAGTGAGAAGAGGGGAAGGTTGGTCTTCAGTCTGTCTTGTCTTAAGCTTAGCTAGCCATGATTACTGATCCAAACATACCACAGTATTCCTTATGCCCAAAGAATACATTCTTACTTACCATTCTTATTACAACCACCATAATACCTCGAAATCTTTATGTAGTCGTAACTGCCCCAGAAAAAACAGAGAAATTTTAGATTTACCATATGAAGAAAAAAATTAACTAACATATAAAAAAATTTAACTGCATATTTTATTATACTATTTTAAAATCCGCCATATCGGGCGGCATTTAAGCAAACTCCTGCAGAGAGCTCTTCTTTGTGTTTTCATCACAATAGGTAGGGAGGAGTAGATGCAATAGGCAACAATAAACTGGAGAAGAACTCAAAATTGATCAATGCATTTAAATAATATATTAATGCTTAAGCTTACCTTTAAAAAATTCAGCGATAATTTTTCTGCTGCCATTTAATTTAAAGATAATTTCATGTACGTATGTCATTATTTTCTGTGCAAACAATTATTTTTTATTTCATGGGTGACTTTCGCTGGATTTCACAGTTAATTTTGATTAACCCTCGAATTTATTACCAAGTTATAAAAATTGGTATCTTATAAAAGAATTCGTCGCAAAAAATTAACATAAAAAATCGCCGAAAACAATCACAGAAATGAAAACTTTGGAATTCAAAATTTCAGAATTACGGGTCCGGATCCAGCTCCGAATGGTTTTAATTTTCTCACGGAGTCGGTCTAATTCCCAAATGGTGTAATATGTTGGGCGACGGCCTCTAGGAATAAAGTTGAGACCATATGACACAGTGACACACTAATATTCGCATTTACTATATAGATGAATGGACTAAAAAAATTAACTAACATATAATTTTTTTAACCATTTATTATTCCAGGAAGCCGCAGTTATTACATTTTCAACGCGTTGGGATTGTTCTCTTTGAGAAAGAACATCCATGTTAGGGATCGAAAAAATGTCAAGAAATTTTGCCAGGATACTTTAGTCTGAACATGATTTCTAACATTTGTGTTTTTGTTCTGTTTTAAGGTACTAAATTTCTTTGCTTTTGTTTCAAATTACTGTAACAAAAATCTCAACAATTAAACAAACTGTACCAAATTTCCTGCTTTTTTTTCTTTCTTTTTTTTGTGGGGCATCCTGTAGTTCCCATATGTAAAATTTGCCTGTACGGGTGGGGAACAAAAATAAACCATAGAGGAGAGTTCATCGGAATATTTGCCATGAAAGTATTTATAAAAAAGCATCGGGAAGATACGTTAGAGCGGTATGAAAATGGCTGAAGTCGAGATGCCAATCAAGATCAATAACATTGCAGAAAAAATTAAGCAGGCCAACTACTGATCAAGTTGCTTATAAAGTTGTTTATAAAACTATATCGTGTATCTATTTCCGGGTAAAGAGTGTGCTTCCGTAGAATGTTGTAATAGCACAATTTAGTGCTCTCAGTTTCTGTTTGTGTTCTCAAAGCTATACCATTTACAATCTATTTCAGATTTTATTATAAAACTCTATGGCTGGATGTAAAGTTTCGTGGTTAACGGTATCACTGCGTATAGTTTTAATGGGACAATAGTAAAAATGGAATTGTCCAACGCTGACCACATTTTCAATGTTCATTGATTTGTTTTCTTTTTACGGTTTGTCAACTCTTTATGGGTTAATTAAAGCCGTTTCACATGTTGTATTACTTACATTATTGACATTCTTCGGACTGTTATTCTCATCTTCATCGTCATATTCACAACGTTTCGGCCGTTGTACACTCCGGCCTTCTTCATTATTTGGATAACGCTTCGACCTTCTTACATTATTCGGATGACAGTCAGAATAATGTAAATAATGTAAGTAATCATAATACCTCATCTCAGAGAGATAGACAGATATTTTGTATTGTAAGAATAATTCTTTTTTGCAAGTAAATATCAGATTAACGATTTTTTGAGAATTTTCTACATACACGTCCTACTAGTTAAGCCATAGCTGGGGGAAAGTGTCAAGCAGACTATAGTGTAATCGATCCGGATCAGGAATCACGACTTCAGTCACTTCCTCATCGACGTGACGTGGTTTCCCTTTGTCTTTTCTAGAAATATTTTCATGTCAACTGACATGACGAGCTTTGTTTATTGGTGTCCTGACTACATGAATTTAAGTGTGCTACTAGATTGGCATTTAGGTCCCACCCTTTTACTGTTTGAATAGCTAAAAGCAACCGCCACTTCTGCTCCAATAGTTTCTTTTCTCTCACACCCCCCTCTTTGGAACTCCCTTCCATTTCTTTGTTCTGATAACTACAATCTTCAAAAGTTTAAATGCAATGTCTTTCGCCATCTTCTGTCTTCTTGAATCGCATTCATCTTTTGTCCTTTCTTCAATCCTCCCTATTCTCAGCCTTCTCTTTCACTTCCTGTAACGCCCTGCGTACTAGTGGCATTACCGTCTTGCTTGGAGTGAAATGATAAAAAAATTCAAGAGTTCTTATCTGTAACAGTAGACCAATTCTACTAATTTAGTTACATCTTTCTTTTTTATTTATTTGACCCAAGAATTTAAAAAATAAGGAACTACTTAATCAACATGAGTACTAAAGCTTGCACCCCAAAACTGAGCAACCAAAGTACTGTTCAAAATCCTAAGTTGCTTATATTAAAAATATCTATTCTATGGTGAAGGGTGTGGTTTTGTTTTCATAGTGAAGTTGCGGTTCTGTTAAAATCCTAAGAATACAATTTAGAACTATAAGTTTTTATTCCTAATTTCAATGCTATAAATATTACAATCTATTCTAGGTAATGTCCCGTGACTCCCTGAGTGCAAAATTTCGTGGGATACCGGCATTTCTGCAAATAGTTATGATGGGGTGATAGCAAAAAGTATTTATCAACCGTTTCTATAAAATATATTTCTAGATAACAGAATATAGTTAGAGATCTTTTTTTTTCTTCGTGCGGTACACGTTTTACTTATTTATTTAAAATAAGATCTCTTCCCTGCGTCCAATATTTGTGCATGCCCCTTCCAAATTATACTGAACAAGAATGAGAAAAAGTAAGAACGAAAAAGACGTGTTTATTTCATTGTTAATTTTCTTTATTTACGTTTTTCATTCTCAGCTTTTATAACATCAAAGAGTTTCTTTTCTTTTGTAACTAATTCCACTGCAACTCACCTTTCGATATCATTCCACGCTTTGCCTTTTATGTGTTTACAGGTCAGTAAGTATGTAAGGAATTCTTCTTGTAACGAATGTCTTTTGTAGGCCGGACATATTGATTCTTGATGTTAACATAATTAGGTTAAAGTAACGCGTTTGATTCTCTCTGCAAGCCATTCTTGACATTCCTTTTTGTGCACGGTCAGTTAAAAACAAGATGGCGTCGAAGTTCCTTGCAAAAATTAATATCACACACAGATAATATTTTATAAAACATTTTTGGTAAGTTCTTATTCTACTCGTTTTCCTCGGAATGATTCTTTTTCTTATTAGTTTTATTATCATTTTATCGCTTAGAGTCGTTTTTCTCTTTGCTGCTTTTTCTTGATTTCAACAGATCGTGTATATTTTTCTTTCTTTGTGGAGGTTCGTTTTTTTTGTCTACTTTTTTTCCTTTTTAATCTTTTAACCATCCTCTTTTCTTTCTTTATTGTCTCCTTTTGCTAATTTCTTTCTTTCATTCTTTCTTTCTTTCATTCTTTCATTCTTTCTTTCTTTCTTTCTTTCTTCACTTACCAACTTTTTGTTCTTTCTTTTAAAGTTCATTTTTCCTTCTTTATTTTCTTTCTTTTTTATTTGCAATCTCCTCTTTTAAATCCAATTTTCTTTCTTTCTTTAGTTTCATGTTTTTGATTCTTTCTTTGAACGTTCGTTTTTCTCTCTTTATTTTCTTTCGTTTTTTATTTCTTCACAATCCCCTCTTTTGAATCTTTCTTCCTTTCTTTTTCCTTTCTTTCCTTACTTTCCTTGTTTGTTTGTTTCTTTCTTTCTTCACTTTCACGCTTTTTTTCTTATTTCTTTGAAAGTTCATTTTCGCCCTTTATTTTATTTTTTTGATTTTTTATCTTTTTCTTCCTTTCTTTCTTTCTTTGAATGTTCATTTTCTTTTTCTTTCTTTCTTTCTTTCTTCAAGTTTCCATTTTTTCATTTATTTACTGGTTTCTTATTTTAAATCTTCAACCTTCCATTTTCTTTTCCTTCTTCTTTCTTATTTTCCGTTTTTCTTGAACCATCCGTTTTCTTACTTTAAGAATCAGATTTTACATTCCTTCATTCCTTCCTTCCTTCCTTCCTTCCATCCTTCCTTCCTTCCTTCCTTCCTTTCTTCATTCCTTCGTTACTTACTTCCTTTCTTTTCATCTTTCTTTCGTTACGATCTAATTTTCGTTCTGCTGTTTTTAATAAACCCCTTTTCTTTCTAGATTCCATTTTTCTTTTCTTTTTCTTTCTATCGCTCAAAAAATGACAAACATTATTTTCCTACAGTTATAAAACTTTCTACCCAAACCGCAACTGAACACATAAAACCTTCCTTTTTTTCTTTTGAATTATATTCTCGCCCTTAGTTTCTAATACTAAATAATTCCTACTTTAAATAACCGATATAAGAGATGATATACCGATAAACCAAAGAACAAATTCTATCTGTCAAAGTTTCTTTTTACGTTCTTTCTTTTCGACCTATTTTTTTATAGTCTTTCTTTTTCATTTGTCGTTCTTTTAAACTTATTTGTTTAATCTTTCTTTCCTTTTTTTTTCTTTTCGTCCTATTTGTTGAAAGACTTTCTTTTTCTTTTCGACTTATTTACAGACTTTCTTTTTTACCTATTTGTTTACAGTCTTTCTTTCTTTCTTTCTTTCTTTCTTTTCGACTTATTCGTTTACAGTTTTTCTTTCTTTCTTTTCGACCTATTTGTTTACAGCCCTTCTTTCATTACAATCTCCTCTTTGACATCCTGTTATCTTTTTCTTTCTTTCTTTCTTTCTTTCTTTCTTTCTTTCTTTCTTTTCGACTTATTCGTTTACAGTTTTCTTTCTTTCTTTCTTTTCGACCATTTGTTTTACAGCCCTTCTTTCATTACAATCTCCTCTTTTGACATCCTGTTATCTTTTCTTTCTTTCTTTCTTTCTTTCTTTCTTTCTTTTTTCTTTCTTTTCTTCTTTTTCGACTTATTCGTTTTCTTTCTTTCTTTCTTTCTTTCTTTCTTTCTTTTCGACCTATTTGTTTAGTCCTTCTTTCATTACAATCTCCTTTGACATCCTGTTATCTTTTTCTTTCTTTCTTTCTTTCTTTTCGACTTATTCGTTTACAGTCTTTCTTTCTTTCTTTCTTTCTTTTCGACCTATTTGTTTACAGTCCTTCTTTCATTACAATCTCCTCTTTGACATCCTGTTATCTTTTTCTTTCTTTCTTTCTTTCTTTCTTTCTTTTCGACTTATTCGTTTACAGTCTTTCTTTCTTTCTTTCTTTCTTTCTTTCTTTCTTTCTTTCTTTCTTTTCGACCTATTTGTTTACAGCCCTTCTTTCATTACAATCTCCTCTTTGACATCCTGTTATCTTTCTTTCTTTCTTTCTTTCTTTCTCAATCCAACAATATTTCTTATTACTGTGTTTACATTTTCTCAGCTGAGCTTGCATGGATACAAGTTGATTTCATTGATATGAAATTATTCTTCGCATACGCAATTTATTATGAATTTATGCCAGTAATATATAAAGTAGAAATGGTTTCATTACTTTTATTATTAATTTTAATAATGTAAATATTTTCATGTCCATTATCGTTTATCTCACTGGAGCCGAGGTTAGCCTACTAACAAACATCACCCAGAGTTTAAGGTTTCTTTTTTAAAATATTAGCATAAGACGACCGCCAATTTTTAATGATGATTTTGGGATTCAAAGGTCGTCTTATGCGCGGAAATATATTGTATATCTGACAATCGTTCACATATAAATATATCCCTACCTCTCCCGGAAATATAGTTTTATACCATTTGTAGATCTTGTGCTTCTTCTACACAATGTTTCGTTTCCGGGATCTCTTTATTTGACTACTCTTCTAACATCTTGGTGCGTTTCTTTCTCTTGGAGATATCGATCTTGCTTACCCTACGTTGCATTCTGTGCATTCTTGTATTCAGTGGTACCCCTTCATCTGACGTTTCCGAATCCACTTGGCTCTGTTGATCATTAGTAACCATGTCTTCAATTTTATCATTCTGTAGGGCCATATTTCTGGGATTGAATATGGAAGGTTTCGTTTGGTTTATTTTGTTTTACGGCATATCGACCACAATGGGTCATTTAATGCCGACAAGATTTTTAGGATAGGCTCGTATGAAAAGAATATCTATTCTTTGTAAGAAATCAGTTTGTAGATCAGGTTTCATTGACGTATTTTTGCAAAAAGGGTTTTTGTCGAGAGTCAAATATATTGCTGGTAAATGGGTAAATAGCAAGACAGACTAGTTTCTATAGCCTTGTATGGCAACTGGTCTAGGAGAAGGATAACTCTGAATTCGAAACCAAAAGGGCATTTGGGAACATTGTGGTACACGGTGCACCAGGTCTCTGTATCTGGCTCTCTGGCGTGGTTCATTCTGCGCAAAACCTTCACCACTATAAGCAAATCATACGTGCTGGTGTCTGGGCTGTCCGTTCTTAAGAACTGAGCCACTTGACCCTCATACATCGAATACGACGGGAGAATCCACCATATATATACTAATTGTATTGCTGGTAATATCTTTTTCAAAAATGTAATGCTGCTAATTTAAAAAAAATATATATTGCTGGTCATTGTTTTTAAACATTACATTGCTGGTATTTTTACTATAAAAATGTATTTTTATACTTTTATAGTGTTTTGACCCCAATTTGGATGTTCATTATTCGCCCATAACTGGGAATCTAACAGGATCAAGTTGGGAATGAGAATAAATAGCAATTAAGAGGTGGTTCCACGCCCCTCATAATCTTCCAATCAGAGGCTTTGCTGCCAGATGTAGTTTATCGTAATACCCAGGACGGAATATGGAAGGCTCGTCGTCCTTCTTTTTTATATTAGTGTTCACCCAATAAAGGCTCAAGAGCCACACAGAGTAGATGATTACTGTAGGAGATGAATATAAGAATAGGAAGTAAGAAGTAAGTATTATGTGAATATGGAAGTTAGGTAACGATTTACACTTGACTTGAGTGTGAAGGTTGAAGCGTTCGTGGAAGCAACCACGTAGGAGTCTGTTACACAAAGTAGCGGTTCTTAGAAAAAGCTGAGTGGAACATCATTCTTATTGATGAAGTACGTAGGGAATGAAGGTGACTCAAACCTGTGGATATAACCAGGGGGGTCTCGGTTGTAAAGATTTGGTCTGATAGAACTGAAGCCGAACATTTGCTATGGATATTTTTTTAATAATTTAACTCCGGGCAAGAAAATAAAGCCACTGAAACGCAAGGGGTTACGCACTGTGAGAACATATGAGAAAAAGAAAACCTTATTAATGAGAGAGAACAATAAAACCACAAGAATTAAGAAGACAGAAGACAACGATTGACATTGCATTTAAATTTTTGAAGATCAAAATTCACTGAAAGGCAAGGGAGAAGTAAGAGAGAATAAATTTATGGTTACATTTAGCCATTTCAACTGTAAAATTACGAGGCCTTGCGCCAATCTTGGAGTATGCTTAACTTCATAAAAACTAGTCACCAAAGAGGAAAGCAATATTTATTTTGTAAAATACACAAAGGTGACATAAGATCAAAAGGAGTGATAGGGGGAGAGCTGTTATAATTCTGTCTTATAATTAAACTTAACTAACTACAATTACTAACCCAAACATACTACAATATTTCCGGTATCAAAACAACGCATTCTCATTTAACATTTTGTTATATAGTAATAAAGTGTCGCTGCCGACACTTGAGTTTGAACATAGTGAGCAAACACATTCGGATCGTTATTTCTAGTCTATCTTCTATTACTATTCGGATCACTATATCTAGTCCAGCCTCTGTACTATACGGACCACTATTCTCTATCTTATTCACTATACTATTTCTCTTTTCGGATCACTATATGGATTACTGTTCGAGCCAGTATTATCGAGCTATTAGTGCGAGTGATATTTGAAGGCGTCTGACACCAGTATTTTTCAGCGGCGTACTATAGTTGTATCGGCGATTACAAAGTCTCTACTGCAACGAGCATTACGAAAGTGACAACGAGTATTCGCTGACATCACAAAAGTTTCAAACGAGTGTTTGCTGACATCACAAAACATTTTTACTACAGCCACCATAATATCTCAAAGTTTCTATGAAGTCCTAACTAGTTCCCATATGTACAAGTTGTCTTTTAAAAAATAACAACATTTAAAAATGAAACTCCAAATAAATATTTACAATGATTACAATTTATATACAAGAAACGTATGGTTTAGATTTATTTTTGTTTTACGGCATGTCAACCATTTAATGCTGACACGATTTTTAGGATAAGTTCGTATGAATATAATATGTAATCTTTGTAAGAAATCAGTTTGTACATCAGGTTTCATTGACGCATTTTTGTAAAGAGGGTTTTTTTGGGTTTTTTTTTTTGTAGAGAGTCAAATCTTTTGTGGTAAGATATTTTGCTGGTATTTTTACTATAAAAATCTATTTTTATAGTTTCATAGTGTTTTGATTCCAGTTTGGAGGTTAACTATTTGCCCGTAGCTGGGACCCTAACAGCTGCTACCACCATGGATCAACATGGAACTGGGAACGATAGCAATTAAGAGATGATTCTACGCTCCCCAAAACCTCCCGATCAGAGGACTTGCTGCCGGATGTAGTTTATCGTCATACACAGGACAAGAAACCTAACAAAATAGTATTAGTAATACCCCCCACCACAAACAATCCTTAATTTCTCCAAAGAGGAAAGCTCATTGTAATCACAAAAGTACGCAGACGTAGGCTTTAAGAAAGCTTTATTCAACTGAGAATACAAGGTTCATGTATTGTGTGCTTTTATAATCCCATTAAACAGAAATAGCCCTCTTAAAGAGGACAGTAACAAAACAAGGGGAGACCACTCTTGATTATTCATAACACTCATTGTAATAATTAACATGAAAATATTTATAGAAAAGGCACAGGGACGATATGTTAAGGCGAGGGGAAAGTAACTGAAGTCAAGATGCCAGGTCAGGATCACTAATATTACAGATTTTTATCAAGATATAGCGAAAGAGTAGTAGGCTTGCGACATTGTGTCTATGGGAAAGGAGCTGATCCTCCTAATGTCAGTGCCATATTTGATCTGCAGTCGTTACTATGCTATTCCCAATTTTACTATCATGGTCATGTGGTTGCATTTTCGCATTATAACGTTGTTCTTTTCTTCATATCCGGCTGATTATACTCTTTTTTTTTACCACAATAACAATTATTTTGAGACAAATTTAGTGTAGGAATTTGGGGGACAGATGTTACAATAAACTGTGTTTATCGACATCTACTTACACAGGGCGTATCAAAAATACTTTTACAAACTTTTGGGACGGGTTCTTCACATCAAAACAAGGACAAAAATTCGTATAAACATGTCTACAAATCCTTCGTTTTTGAGTTATTAGGTTTAAAATTTACGGTAGACGCTGTTAAATGTACAATCCAAGATATAATCCAAAAATACGTTTACAAATTTGGGGGCAGGGGTCATGATTCTACCGTAAACTTTCTTTAAACATAATAGCTCAAAAAAGATATTTGCGAACATGTTTATAAGGATTTTTGTCCTTCTTTTGGTGTGAGCAACCCGCTCTCAATCTTTATTAAATTATTTTCGATACACCTTGTATATCTCTCTGTATGCCTGCTAATTTGTTTACCTATCTATCTGTCGGCTATCTACATACCGGACTGTTTAATTACCAATCGACCTGAAGGTATATATATCTTCTTGTCCATTTACACACCTGTTTCTGTATATCTACCTACTAAATTAACCACCTGCATACTTGCTTGTTCACCCCAAACACCTGGATATTTGCCTATATTTCTACCTACCTTCTTGCTAAGTTTCCAACCTGTTATATCTACGAATCTATTAGGTTGGTGCAAAAATAATGACGTAATAATGTCGTTTTTTGACGTTAAAAAATACGTCAAAAAAACGACATTATTACGTCATTATTTTTGCACCAACCTAATACTAAACAAACTGCCTGCCTAATTATTTGCGTATCTACCTCTCTGTCACCTACTGCTTGCCTTCCAACTGTCTACCAATCTACCTGTGTATCAGTCGGCCTACGACCCTACCTACGTCTCTGTATACCTACATACCTACCTGCTTGCCAATTTACCTTTTTTTTTTTTAAACAATTCACCCCCAAAAAGGCGATAACACTATTATGGCGAAAGGGGTTACTGGAAGAAAAAGAGAATGAGAAGACTTTAGAAGGGATCGAAAATGCAGTCCTAAACAGGAAACAAGGGATAAACCTCTACTCCTGTTCAAAAGACTGGGTGCGGGGGAAGATTGAAACGGACGATATGGTTGCATGACACGTTGTGCGTTTACGATCCTAATGGGTGACGAGACGTAATTAGGGTGGAAAATTATATTACATACGTTCAATAATAATGCATAAGGTTACTAATATTTAAACCACGAACAACTTTTATAACATTGACTTTTATGCAATTATGACATTGTAACAAATAAAAAGTATGGTTTCATCGTGAAGATAAGAATGGTATGGAAAGAAAAAAAAGGAATTTTTTTAGAAAGTACATCGTTTATAAAGTTGTGTAAAACAGTGTTTTTGTTTATATTTCTGAAATAAGGTATTGTAACTATTTATACTATTTACTCTTGTCCTCGTCTTTATTGTCATATTCACGACGTTTTGGCCATTCTTCAGGTGATATATGTTAGAATTTCGAACCGAGGCCTTTTGGGATATCTCAGTTTCAGTTAATTCCCTTTAGCAACTCAACTTTCCAAGGTTTTGTTCACCTCTGCTATGGCCAGAACTCAAAACTTTTTGGGTCTTTGAGCTCATGGCTCAGTGGATAAAAAGTGTTGGTTGAATAATCCAAAAAGTGACTTGACTCAAAGAGTTGTGAGTTCAAAACGTGGCCACAGTAGAGGGAACAAAAACTTGGAAAGATGAGTCACTAAAGGGTATTAACTGAAAATGGAGATATATTCAAGAAAGGCATGGCACGTGGAATTAGAACAATTTATGCCTGTAGATTAAGTGAAGGGTTCTATTCGAAATTCCAACTAATATCACCTGAAGAAGGCCGGAGCGCACGACGGCCGAAACGTCGTGAATATGGCAATAAAGATGAGGACAACAGTCTGAACGATGTAAATAGTGTAAATAGTTTCTGTATCTAAATTCAAAGTTTGAGAAATCGAATTGTTTGGGGTTTTGTTGCCACAACTTGGCTGTTAAAGACAAAGTCACAAAAAATAAATATATACTTAACATCAAGATGAGGCAGCTGAAATTTCAAGGGCGCATAATGAGGAAAGAGGACTTGGAAAATCTGATACTCGCAAGACATATTGAAGGCAAAAGGAAAACAACGCATAATATACCTAGTGAGCTTTAGTAAATGGATGGCGGAACAAGTTTTAAGAAAAATAACAAAAAAGATAAAATTTATTAAGAGCAACGAAGGACAGGAAATTGTGGAGAGAATTGATAGCCAACGTCTTGAAGGGACACGGCACATGAAGAAGAAGACAAAGTACTTTGCATTGGGTTAGGATTATCAGCTATTATCTGGCCTTGTGTCATACTTATCTAAGGAAAATCAGTATAACTAATAAAAGATAATTCTATTTGCATACTAAATTGATTCATATTGTTTATGATGCTTTTTCATATTTCAATCTTTTCTTTTCGTCATTTTGTTACGTTTTTGTTTTTCTTGTTTTTTTCTTCTTGTTTTCTTTCTTCTTTTATCAATCTTCCTGAATTTCTCGCTCTGTTTCTTTTCGTACTTATTCAATTATCTTCTTCTTTGATGTTCTCTTATTCTTTATCTTTTAAACTTTTTCGTTTTTATTTGCAATTTCATTAGCATCTTTATTTTCTTTCATTTTTTAGTCATTTATTCATATATTCTTTTGCTGTTTAATGCTTTCTTTCGTGTTTTTCTTTTTGTTTCATCCTTCTTCATCGTTACACGTTATTTCCCCATCTTTTTTTTTTCATTCCTTATTCATTTTTACTTCTTTGCAATTTCTCTTTCACTTTAATTTTTCTTTCTTTTTTTTAATTTTCTTTCCCGTTTCTTTATCATTTTTTCCTCTCTTTTCTCACTTCATTTATATTTATTGTTTTTTTATCGATTTTCTTTATTTTTCATTTTTCTTTGCAGCATCTTATTTTTCTTTTCTTTCTTTTTATTCGTTTTTGTTGTTACTTTATCATTCTTTCTTTCTTTAATTTCCTTTGCCATTTTCCTTCTTTACTTACGTTTTTATTTCTTTTTTCATTCTTTTATTTTCCGAGTTTCCTTCTTTTCTCTTCTTACTTTTCATTCAAGTTTTTACTTTTTCCACGCTTTCCTTTCTGTTTTTTTTTCATTCTATCATTTGACACCTCGCTCCTTCATTTGTTTCTTTCCTTTTACTTTCCTTCTCCATCACTTTATTATTCCCTGGATGGATGTACCGAAAAGCAAGAAGGAAAACGTTAGAAATTAAGGAAAGAAAAATGAAAGGGTGGGGGGGAGAAAAAAAATTCTTTTTTTCATCGATTCATTTTTCATTCCTTATTCGTTCAAGATTTTTCTTCATTTTCATTCCTTCCATCATTTATTTTTCTTCCTTTGTTTTGATTTTCTTTCTTTTCGTTCCTTCTTTACTTTATCATTTCTTTCTTTCTTTTTTTCTTTCTTTCTTGTAAGTAAACTTATTGTTCCTTAAAAAAAAAAAATGAAATGGCAAGTACACTTGTGAGGAAACCGAAATTGAATGGAACCATTCCAAGTTACGCGACAGAAGAGATGGTAGATCGCCCGGAAAAGAACTGTCATTTCCAAAATCATTGCTTTGTAGCAAGATCTCGACTCGTGTCAATGACATCGACTACCTCTCTTTCTTTTCTGCTTTTCTATCCTTTCTAGTTACAGGTATTTTTCTTTCTTTTCTCCTCTTTATTTTTTTATTATTCATAATTTGGTTTATTTCTTTTTTCTCACTTGTTTCTGACGGTTTGTAATTTAATGTTCTTTTTTTTCATTTTATATCTCGATTTTTTAAAATTCTCAATTACCTGAATATTTCTTTTTTCACTTTGTCAAATTCCTTCTTCCATTTTTATCTCTCTGCATTGTTTTTTTTATCGTTTCTTTTTCTCCATAACTTCTTATTCTTTTTTTTTTTTTTCTTTTGCTTCTTGAACTCGTTTTTCTCATCCTTCAATTGTTCTTTCTCCCTTCATTTTATCACAAATTCACGACTATTTTTAGCCTATTTTTCTCTTTAATTTTCCTGTATCAATTTCTTTGTTTTTTAACATCTTTTCTTTGTTTGTTTTTTTCTTTCTTCTCAAATTTGCAATTTTATCCTTTCCCTCTCTCTTCTCAATATCATATTTTCTATTTTTTTTACTTTTTCCATTCGTTTTTTTCTTCTTTCTTTCTTTTCATTTTTTAGTCTATTTTTTGAACTTTCAATCTTTGCTTTCTTTCCACCTTTTCTTTTTCCTTTCATTCTTTCTGTATCCTTTCCATCCATTCCTTTTTTTTTCATACTTTCCCACCTTCTTTTCTTTCCTCTTTTTTACCTTCTTTCTTTCTTTCTTTCTTTCTTTCTTTCTTTCTTTCTTTCTTTCTTTTCTTTCCATCCTTCGTTCTCTCATTCTTTTTCCTTCCTTCCTTCCTTTCCTTCCTTCCTTCCTTCCTTCCTTCCTTCCTTCCTTCCTTCCTTCCTCTTCTTCTTTTCTTTTTCTTCTTTCGTTTGTTACATTCTATCCTTTATTTCCACCATTCTTTCTTTCTTTCTTTCTTTCTTTCTTTCTTTCGACCCATCCTTTCTTTTGCCCTTCCTCTCTTTATATTAATAAGAATTCCTAAACGAATCCAGTACGTAGATAAATTACATTGAACAACATTGAAGTCATGGAACCTAAATTTGCGTATTTGTTGCCCGATTAATGTTCTCTGTAAGTAAAATGACTTGCTGAGCAGTAATTCACAAAATATACAAATAAACGCATAAAAATTGAAATAAATAATAAAAAAAAATTCATGGAATGGTCTTAGCCACGTCGACGAAGGTGAATACAGGTTGATTGGTTTGAGGATATCATTACTTGTGGGGCGGGGATGATAACGATGATCAGGGTGGAAGATCGTAGAAATGGCAGGGATCGTGGTTGTAGTAAAGGTGGTCGACGCTAGATGGCGTTGGCGGCGAGATTTTCTATTTCGGATTCTGGTGATTTAGTGCTGCAGATGTGAAGATGTTCTTTCCGAGGCTGGCAACCAAGAGAAATTAATCGGAAGAGGTTTTTTATTTATTTATTTATTTCTGTTGGACACCAACCAGCCGAGCAGATTCCCGCGATGAGCAGAAGGCGGGAACAAAGTACAAGTGAAGTATGCATATGTATATATGTATATACGACAATACATTTACCTGCTTATGCATGCTGAAGAAATGTGTTATATATATATATATATATATATATATATATATATATATATATATATATATATTCTTTGGGTAGCAATTCCCTTTTTTATGGAAGTTTCGTTGAAAACGACTAACAAGGTGCAGTGTTTGATTTTTTATATAATTTCTCATGTGTTCGTATAATTTCTTTTTCTTTTCAGGGCATAAATTTTAATAAAAAATTCAAAATGTTTTCCAGGCGTTTTCGGCTATACTCTTAGCCATTACCAAGGGTGAATTTTATTTTATTTTTAACTGAATGCATGGATTGTTTTATGTATGCATCTAGAGCAGTGGTTTTCAACCAGGCTTCCGCGGAACCCTAGCGTTCCGTCAGTAAAGCCCAGGGGTTCCGTAAGAAGTTACACAAGTACTATCATTGAACAGTAATTTTTAATTGCAGGGGTTCCTCGAGCCACTGGAATGTTTCCTCTTGGTTCCGCTCCAGCAAAAAGGTTGAAAACTACTGATCTAGAGTTATAGGAATCTTTTAATTACCAAACACAGAGAGCACATTGTCACCATGTTCATAGTTGATATTATTGAATGTTGCTTTTCTGTTTTTTTGTTATAATTCTTCCATTATTTTTAGGTTTTTCTTTGCACATGTGAATAATGCTATTATATTTGTATTGTCAACGAGTCAAATTTATGTCCTGAAAAGTAAAAGATTATACGAATACGTGAGAAATTATATGAAAAAATTAACCACTGCACCTTGTCAGTCGTTTTAAGAAAACTTGCATATATATATATATATATATATATATATATATATATATATATATATATATATATATATATATATATATATATATATATATTATAAATTAATTGATTTAAAATATGGTTTTCGCTACACAGTTCTAACCATGTTTCAAAAATAGAAGCTAAAAGCCCCGAATTTAATTTTGCAATTAAATTAAAAGCATTAGTTCCATTTCATCCTCAAGCGAATTTTAAATCAATTAATTTATAATATTATGCTCTGTAAATTTACATTGAGCACTATTTTGTGAAAATAAAAATATCTATAAGAACACCGGATTATATATCTTACTGTTCTTTCTTTTTATTTACACACACACAGACACAGACACACACATATATATATATATGTATGTATGTATGTGTGTGTGTGTGTGTGTATACGGTCATCTACATGCTTATGTATATAATGTATTTTAATTTTTAATATAATTATAGATGCGCAGACAGATTAATAAGGATTCAACATTTCTCTTAAATATATAAGAGAGTCGGCTAGGGTGAAGTGGAGTGGAGTAGGAGACTCAGTGCTAATCTACTTATCTACTTATTACTAACCCTATTGTTTTGTATATATCTTCAATATACGTTTTCAACCTACCTTCGTCTTCCGTGTCTTTCTTTCTGGCCCTTAAACAGACCACAACAATAAGATAATTATCTACCATCGCCCAATCAGGAATCATTAAAGTTTTTATATAGCGATCTAAAAAATGTTTTTATTGTAATCTATTATAATGAAAATATTTTAATAATATTATATTTTGCTCTACATTTGTATTGAACACTTTCTAAAGGGTAAAAGCTAAAAAATGTGGATTCTAACTCCATCTGTTCTTTCTCTTTCTTAATATATATATATATATATATATATATATATATATATATGTGTGTGTGTGTGTGTGTGTGTGTATTAATTAGTACATATATTTACCTATGTTTTGGCATGTAACTGTAGTTTCTCTGGGTGGTGTTCCCAGCTCATCGGGCACGGGGGTCGATGTCTATGTTCCAGCAACATAGACCCCATGCCCGATGAGCTGGGAACACCACCAAGCGAAACTATAGTAGCACGCCAAAACTTAGGTACATGTATGACGAAAATGGAAAACTACATTCAATGAAAAAAAGATTATCTGGAAAACAATAAAACTGCCGTCGAAACTGGTTAATAAAATTATTAAAGAACTGATGAAGGCTATAGAATTTCAAAGATCTTATATTAACCATAAAGTGACAATATAATCATTTATTGAAATCGGTGTGATATCTTTTTCATTTACTTATAGAAAATGTGTTTTATTTAGTTTGTACTATAAAACATGACACCACCAAAAACAAATCATTTTCAGTATTTTTTTTTTCACGATGAGAATGGTTACTATAAGCTGAAGGATCACGCGCTACATTGCTTATATAAATATAAAAAAAAATTGTACCAACTTTGGTTAGTTAATACTAATTTTATTGTGAAACCAATGATTTGCATAAAAGAACTGATATAGTAAATAGCCAGAAGTTTTGCATAACTTAATTCAATCAAAAACAATAGTCAGCAGATTATCTTTATTGCTGGCGCATCGAACCGGTTTCAATTCTCACCAGGGTCGGTTTTTCGAAAAAGGTTACCATAATGATATTGACCCTACCAGGAACGAAGTTCCGGGCGGCATAGCTCTGACACTACCGTTTACACCCCCCCACCGACTGTGAGGTAAGGGCTGGACTTTGGGGGCTTACAGTACCAGGTGTTCCCAAGCGGTCCCCCATCTAAGTACTGACCTGGCTCTACGATGCTTAACTTTGGTGATCGAACGGGAACCGGTGTTTTCAGCGTGATTTGACCGTAAGCAGGTCTGACACCCACGCCGGCTAACAAGGGCTCTGGTGAAAATCCAAGGAGCGTCTGCATCGGTAACCGGCGGCTTCTGGTCGTTCCTGTCTCTGCGTCTGTGGGAACCCCGCAGCAAGCAAGAACGTTATCCGAGTAGGCCTGGGTACCCTACTTCTGTAATTTATCCCAAGAATCTTCTTCTCATAACAGGAAGAAGCCGGCTCAATCCGCCCAGGGTGAATGCCGCATCAGTACTGTACAGTAGTAATGATATTGACCCTGTGAAATGATTCTAGTGTGCAGTACTGCTGGGTAATGTCTGAAAACTTACCCCACAGATTGACCCAAGGTTTGTGAGTGAAACTACTTGTTTATTGTTGTTGTATCAATTCACCCCAAGCAAGACGATAATACCACTAAGGCGTAAAGGAAGTGAAAGAGAATTGAAAGACGTTTTAAAAGGAATTCTAAATAGGAAAGACGAAAGTGCTCGGAAGTAGTTGATCATTATGCTAGTTAATTTTTTAGTATAATCGCCTTGTTTGGCTGTTGATCACGCTAGAGTACGCGATCTCTCCCAGAAACCCTCACTAAAATCTTCTCAGTATAGTTGCATTATAAACCACAGGGTGTTGAAGAAATACTAATGTGTCTGAGCAGGCGTCTGCAACAGGATTTAACACCCCCACCCCCGTGTAGACCTGCATTCTTGGAAACGAGATGCCAGGCATTTACATTAGTACTAAGAAGTCGTTCGTTTTACTATCATTATAACTAGGTGTAATTCAATTCAAGTCTTGACCTAATACCCAACGAAGAGAAGTATTTCAGCGCGTATATACAGGGTGTTCCCCCAAAACTGACATAATTTAAGATGTTAATATCTAATTAACTACATGTCCCAGGCAAACGAAATTAAATAAGCTTCATGTTGAACAATAAAAGATTTATTGATCAAGATTCGAACAAGATATTCAAAGGGATGTAGATTTTATAGCCGATATCACAAAGCTTCATAAATGTTCAATATGCACACCACACGTGACACGACGCACATCAAGTCGGTAGTCCAACTCCTGCCAAACACGCTGTAGCATGTCTTGCGTAGCATTCTCCAGCGCCTCAGTGATTCTTTGCTTAAGTTCCTCTAGGCTTGTATGAAGTGCGGGATTTAGACCTGTCCTTTCACATAGCCCCATAGAAAAAAATCACAAGGTGTCATGTTAGGTGAACGTGGTGGCCATTTCAACAGCACATTGTCATTATCACTGGCATGTCCGATCCATCTTCCTGGTAGATTCTCATTGGGATAAGTCCGCATAGTCAATTTAGTTTTTACATATTTTGTTAAAATTTGAGATCATTTGAGCGAGAATTGGCTATGTTATTAGACTACAAAAGGATGTCAATTTTTTGGACGTCTTGTATATAAGGTTTTAAAGACATTTGTACAGATTGGGCAGTTTGTTTCTATGTCAGGTTAAACATCATTGTTATGATTTTTTTTCTTTATTTGCGCAAGCCATTTTGCACGTAGAATTCCCAAAATTATTGGTAGTACATCGTTTCTCTCTTTCTGTTTTTGTCTCTCTCTCTTATTTTTCTCTCTCTTATCTCTTACCTATCTTTATTTCTTTTCTTTTTCTTTTCTCTTTTATTTTTATCTCTTTTGTTTACTTTGTCTCTTTTTGTCACTTTTCTCTCTCTTTTAATCTTTTTTTCTTTACTCTCTTGTTTGTCTCTTCCCACTCTCTGTCTCTTCTTTCTGTCTATCCGTTTCTGTTTTCGTCTCTTCTCTCTCTCTCTCTCTCTCTCCTGCTCTCATTTTTTCTTTCTTTTCTCTTTTTGTTTCTGTTCTTTCTTTGTCTCTCTTCTCACTTTGTTTCTTTTCTTCTTTTTTTTCTCTGTAACTTTTCTTTTCTCTCTCCGTCTCTTTTATTTCTCTCTCTTTCTCTCTTTCCTATCTCTCTTTCTTTCTTTTGTCTATTTTTTGTCACTTTTTCTCTCTTTTCGTCGATTTTCTCTCTCTATTAGTCTCTTTTCTCTCTCTCTCTCTCTCTCTCTCTCTGTCCTTTCGTCTTCCTTGACACTCTGTCTCTTCTTTGTTGTTTTTTTTGTCTCTTTTCTCTCTTTGTAATTTTTTCTCTCATCCCCTCTCTTTCTTTTCGTCGCTTTTCTTTCTTTCTTTCTTTCTTTCTTTCTTTCTTTCTTTGCTTACCTCATTCTGTTAATCACTATACGTATGATATGCACATCATATCGTTCTCTTCCGTCTTGCTTGGGACGACATTGTCAAGTTGTACACTTGCCTTCCCTCCAAATCACTAAATCTTTGTCAAACTTCGAATGTACAAAGGCTTGACATTATACTGAAGGGAGTGCCTGCTGCCCTTATCAAGGTCTCATTTAAATACTCTTCCCGGCGTATTTAAATGGGAGGAAATACCTTCGGTATTTTAGACAACACATGAGACACACCAAAAACCAGGTTCATATGAATGTCAAGCGACACCCACGATAAAATAGTCTTACAGGAAAGATTATATCAGATCAAATTAAGTGAAGGTTTTCAGAATAGAATTATTATTAACATCAAAAAATGGTATTAATAATTGGTCAGTGCACTATCCGTGCTCATTATGGAAAGTGTTACGCCCTCGCCACACACACACACACACACACACACACACACATATATATATATTTCAATTAAAAGGTGCAATATATTTATAAATTCATGAATCATTCATACAAAAACAAATAGAGGTTAATGAATTAAATATGAGAATACTTCGTCAAAACAATATAATAAGATACATCAACCCCGAACCTGTATATGAATGATATGATCCCCGTTTATAAATTCCAGTTGCATAAGGTCTTTTTAATTTTTTTAAGCTTTCGTCTGTTCCTACAGACATCATCAGGTATGGAAGTAGATTCTGTTCTTGTTTGTACTTCTCAGTAATTTATAAACGGGGATCATATCAATCATATAAAGGTTCGGGGTTGATGTATCTTATTATATTGTTTGCGACGAAGTATTCTCGCCATTTAATTCATTAACCTCTATATTTGTTTTTGTATGAATGATTCATGAATTTATATATATATATATATATATATATATATATATATATATATATATATATATAATGTGTGTATCTGGGCAGCAGTTTCATTAAAGACAACTGACAAGTTACTGCGATTAAGAATTTATTTAATTTTTTCCTTTGTTCCTATATTTTTTTCTTTTCTAGAAGTGTGTAAACATTTTCTGAATGTTCTGGATGTCCGGGCGCTTTCGGCTATTCCATTACCCAATATCCCGAATGGTTATTTTTTTTTTATTTTTAACTGAATGTATAGATTTTTTTATGTGTATATGTAGGATTAAAGGAATGTTTTTTTTTTTTAATTTTCCAAACACAGTCAGCACAGTGTAGCTGTGTTCATAGTTGATGTTATTGAGTTTTGGCTCTTTCTTTTTTATTATTAATACTACCATTATTTTGACCTTTTTTTTTTACATATAGATGAGGCTATTATAGTTGTATTTTCTACGAATATGGAGTTTGGTAGGTTTCCCTGTGGGTTTAAATGAGTCCTGATAGAGCTATGATCAGAGAGAAGTAACGTGAGTCTTCTTGTTAGGCATGTAGTTGTATGTCCAATAAAATTATTTAGTTTGGTCAGGAACACAGTTCCTTAAGGGACACGTGAACTTATATATAATTTTGATTGTCTGTAATTTGTATCGTGCAGGTGAGTTGCTGTTGACGATAAGGTTAGCTGCTTCAAATTTTTTATAGTCGATAACTAATTTAATTTTTTGTTCTGGTCGACTGGAGTTGTGTATTTCTTTATAAGGGAATTATTCATCTTGATTATAATTACCGTGTATTTGATTTTTATAGAAAATGTTAATGTTATTGTTTTTCTCTACAAGTTCACTGTTGCTATTGGTTACCTTATAAAGAAATAGTCTAAGTTGGTGATCTCTGAGGTAATTCGGAAAACCGTTATTAAGTAGCGTTTGTTTCGCGTTATATATATATATATATATATATATATATAGGTAGTAATCCGTCGGTATAATCTAAGCAAATCCTATTAACACAATATAGAATTTTAGATATTAAATGTTAAAACTTTTTGTATTCATGTAGGTGTTCCTCCAGGCCTCTATCCTTGAAACTACGTTGTTCGTAATTTTCTTCAACGACATTTCTGATGTTATCAGTTTACCACTCGTTATATATGCTGATGACACAAATTTTTACTCCTGTCTTAATAGTAAATCAGATAAATTCGAAAACGTCAAATTGGCAGCTGATTTCAAGAATGGCCTTCAATCTGTTGTTAACTGGGGCAAGAAATAGCTTGTTTATTTTAACGCTTCCTAAACAAAACTGCTCGCTTTTAATCGTCTTAGAGAACCGTTTTTGGCTTCTATCATGATGGCTGATGCTAACCTCCCAAAGAGTGATTCCTTGCAGGTTATTGGGATAACGTTTTCCACGGTTATGAAGTGGAAAGGTTATATTGAATCAATTGCTAGGTCTTCTGCTTGGAAAATTGGTTCCCCATGTTGTGCTAGATTATTTTCCTCGCCAGAATCTAACTTACACATTAATAAGTCCTCCATTCGTTCATGCATTCACGTCTAGTTTTCTGTTTCTACTATGTATTTAGGGATTCTTGATAAAATACAAAAAAGAATCTGCAATATTACTGGTCCTGACCTAGCATCTCGGCTTCAGTCACTTTTCCACAGCTGTAACGTAACTTTACTGTGCTTTTTCTTTAAATATTTTCATCATAATTTTTCTTAAGGAGTTTTCCTCTTTGGTATGGAGGCCTTATGAATTTAAGCGTAATATTAGATAGGTGGCAAAGTCTCATCATTTTACTGTTGAAATGGCCAGAAATATTTCATTATACTCTCTGGTTTAAAGATTGATTTTACTTTATCACTCAACCCTTTTTAATATTCTATATTTATCTTATGTTTCTCTAGATTGTTTTAGATGATTGGGTATCTTATCAATCAACCTTCGCAATTTTGAACAGAAATTAATATATTTTATTTCGATAGCAGCTTCATTATTCTATTTGGTTTAAATCTTGTTTTATAGGGCCGGAAAACTTACATATCAATCCATTCCCGTAATTCTGAAGAGAAATAAATTTACTTCATTTTGATACCAGTTTCGTTGTTCTAGCTGAACTAAAACTTGTTTTAAAGAATTAGAGACCTTACTTATCAGTCAACCTTCGTAATTTGAAAGAGATAAATTTATTTCATTTTGATACCGGTTTCATTATTTTAGCTGGTCTAAAACTTGTTTTAAAGATTTAGAGAGCTTACTTATCAATCAACCTTCGTAATTTGAAAGAGATATAAATTTATTTCATTTTGATACCGGTTTCATTATTCTAGCTGGTTTGTACCTTGTTTTATAGGATTGAAGACCAAACTTATCAATCATTTCTCATATATCTTCTCAAAATGCTTCTTTCTCAGATCCTGATCATTTACTGTTGCTTCAATTCAGTCTCTATCCTAGCTTGCCTCTAAACAGACGGCCCCACACTTTGCCGATTGTACTGTATCTGTTGTAGCGATTATTTTTTTTATTGACACTTTGTGACAAACTAAAATCTGTATCCTCTCTCTGTTTAACCCAGCCGTAGATTTTTTAAAAATTTTATTTCTAATCTTATTCAGGTCACATATAATTTGACTTTGAGCTTGAACAAGCGTAACCATGTTATTAAAATACAACTCCCTAGCATTTACAAGAAGCGCGCAGTAAATTTCACGCATGCGCAATCATTCCAAATGCTGGCGTGTATTAAGAGCAGATAATGTACATGGAAGTTCGTTTAAACAGAAGGAACCATATAGTCGTACATAGAAATATTAAAAATACACAAAGTATTTAAAAAGGTAAGTCATATGCTTATCTCTTAGGAAACAGACGCTAGAAATAGACAGACGAAAATAGCGAACAGTTTTCACGTTTCAACGCATTCATTTGCATAAAGTTCATGCGTATATTTAATCTTTGTTCAAATTTCGCAAAAAGGAAAAGTTTTTTGCATAGCTATTTAGTAAGCCTGGCTTAGCCTGGTACAATGATAGAGGGAGGGTTGGGAAAGACCATGTTGCGCCAATATTCTGATTAGGGTAGAGCTATCCTTTCTATTTAACACTGGTTACTGAAAATAAACCATCAAGTCTATACAAGAAAAAGGTTTTTATAGATATATTTTATAATTTTAGTTCATTCCGCCACAGGAAGCCAAATCGAATGTCTTGGAGAAAAAAAAGGAAGAATGTGTAGCGCCAATTTCAACTTTACTTTCAAACAACAACTTGTAAGAGATAACTATCTCAGCCACAGCACAAGCCCTCTACCCAATTTTAATTTTTATACGTGCTAACTATTTTCCCGTAATACAGAAGACAACCTTCCTCCATAGACACAACTTTGAGAATTCAGGCTTGCGGTGGAAATGTAATTTAAAGAGATTAGGAATGTAGTATCTACATTTACAGTCTTAAATTTCAGTTAGGAATCACTTTAATGGTGGACTGTTAATCAGGGGTCGAAGCGAAGTGGTTTTAGGCCCCCTAAGCCACACAACTATAAAGGTTGGTAGAACTGGGATAAGGAAAAATAGCAAAAAGACAAATTTTACTATGGTTACAAAAGACAGAACATTATGGCGAGCCATGGTCGCCCACGTTCTAAAAAGACGCGGTGCATAGAAGAAGAAGAAATCAAACAGATAGAAAAAAATAGATTAAGAACTGGAAAAATATGCTGTTTCAAACCTTCCTCTTTTATGTACCATTCTACCTTCAGAACGTGGGCGATCATGGCTCTTCACAATTTCCTGTCTGTTGTAGTTGTTAGCAATGTCAGCTATAGTTTTATAAAAAGTGCAGGTCGTACCTTTTTAACTTTGGGTGAGGAATTTCTGTCTGAATTTCTGGGAATGAGGAATTATCATTATTTAAACTATTTACATTCAGACTATGATCCTTATCTTATAAAATTTTAATGGTATCCTTTTTTGAAAATTTTATTTATTCGTTATGAAACTTAAATAATAACATTGTACTTGTGGGTGGACCCCATTTGTCTCTTGGCAACCAATATTTTGAGAGTCAGTCCGCCATTGATACTGGATTTTAAGGTGAGCATTAATGGATTAAGATTGTAATTAGCTTTCTGCACTAGATTTCTAATCTGTTTAACTTAATTTTTTAAATTTTGATTTAGGGGAACTAAACCACTTCTCTTCTTTCCCTGATT